GGCGACTCTTTCGTATTCGTCAGTCGATCCTTAGTCCCCGAACTTCGCCAGGTTCCAACTAGTAGTGTAGACAGCTCTGCAGAATAGTCTTTTCGGAAGCTTCCAGACGTTTCTTTCTTGGTTTCACACGAGACCCCTTTCGAGAATGCATCCAGGCGCTTTTTCCAGGTCACACTTCCACGTACCACTTCTGTTTCGAGAATGGAGGGTACAGTCTGGTAGAAGTTTTCGAGGAAGACATGGCACGACCAGGATCAGGCTTGTGCCATGGAATCAGAAGGGATTGTATTTATTCATACGGCAACGAAAGGGTCATAGAGACAAACGGGGTGCCCACGTTGCCCGGAAGTGGCGCCGGTAGTTGAAGAAATATCCAGGCAATTCCTACCGGGAGCTGCTTTCCGTCATGCCATGCTTTACTTTCGGTTCAGCCCCCTTTATGCCCGATTAATGACGAGTCCATGGAGTGCTGGATGTCGTTGATTCATTGTCATGAAGAAGAGTCCAAATGAAAAGTTTGGGACTCATATTCGGGGAGATTTGAAGAGAAATCACAGATTCACCTCCCATCTCGCTCCTTATAGAGCCTCTACGGACAAAAATAGATCCCTTCCTGGTTCTTTTCCTCTTCAGCGTAAGGACAAATTGGGTACCGGAAAGGGAGACTACGCGGTTAATGATGCACTGGAAGGAAACGGTAGGAGCTTCCAATTGGAGCCAGTAAACATCTGCCTACTAGCCCTCTTCACAACCTTCTGATGGGATCACTCCAAAAGAGGCTCAGCCTATGTATGGCCCCAGGCATCGAATCACGCATCCACTCTTCCTAAGGTGTGATAGATATGGCGTCTCCGCCATGACAATATCCAAACCCCTACAATCTCAATTTCTCGAGCAACGAAGCGCTCGAGGAAGAGAGAATTGGTGACACGGGACCGCTGCACGGGACGGCGTCGGTCGCCCAGGCCACGGCTGCTAGCGTGTGAGTAGTCTAGGCGCTCTGTGTGTGTGTGTCCATTGTTCGGCCTGGTTTATTCATACATCGGTGCAGTCTGCCCACCCGCCTCCCTTCCCCCCTCTCGCCTTCGTTCGTTCGTGTGTCGTCGCTCCTCGCGGCACCCGACGCCACCAACGCCATCACCGTCGGTGGCTGTCCTCTCTATCACTCATGGATGCTTCCATTCTCTATTCCGTTAGAATTCTTTGGCCTTTCGTTCAGATTATTCTTGTTCAGTTTTTCTTGAATATGCGGGTTGCGCCATGTACTTGGAAGTTATCAAAAATTGCGAAGGCGCTCGCTACCTCAGGAATCGGACCCAACGCTAGGAAGTTCAATTTTCGTCTTGGCACCCAGGCTCGTTGGTCTAGCTCCATAAACCCACTGGAGGAAGTACTCAAAAGTTCAGAATCTGATTTGTTGTGTTTTTTCGTCCCAAACGGGGGATGACCGCCAACTGGGTTCGGGTGCAACGTAACACCCGGAATTTCAACAACATTCTGCAGTTTTGTTGATAACTCTGTTTTTTGGGGAGATCTAATTAAGCAAAAAACAGCTGCTAGACTCGGGCTAGAACACGCCCTACCAAAGGAGGTCTTTCAATCAAAATTTGAGCTGGAGACCCAGAAAACAGGGCCCCCTGGAATAGCATCCTCAAAATTTAAAGAGGATTATGACTTCTATAACCAGCTTGTTTCCTTTTTCATTGATGACAAATAAAATCAAGGTGTTTGATGTGAAATAGAGGCCCTAGCTGGAATTCTTGCTTGACAAAAATGTGTTTTTGTTTGTTGTTTTTTCAAGTAAACATTGCAAATGAATTTTCTCGAATTCTGAAATCAACAAATAAACAATTAAATAAATAGCACAACCGACCCATGAAAACGGAAAGAGGAACCCGGAACTCGGAACTTTTTGTATGATTATTTCTAGAACATAGATTTCCTTAGTTCTAGGAACTTGACGATGTCGTGCTACTTATTATGGCTGGATTAGGATTATCCACTTACAACCCGATGACGCAAACTCTGTCTAGAGGGCATTGATGTTAATAAGGTCTAATAAAATGCTTAAAAATAATCACTGGCGGAAGTCGAAAATCGAAAATCGGAAATCGGAATTCCTCACCTCTTTGGCGTTAACACATAGTTATAATTAACCTCATTAAACAATTTTGATTGTTGTTTTATATGTTTTGTTTGTTAATTGCTTGGTTTTTCGTGATCCTCACGAAAAAAACAGGAGGTAATTTTGAGGAAAAAAATTAAAATAAATAAATTATTTGTCAGTTTCTCTTAATATTTTGTATGCGTATCGAACTTCCAAGCCAAAGAATGTCTCCGATTTGACGGTTCAGGAGGAACATACTGAATTCCACATAGCTAGGCAATCCTTTACCACCTCCAGACTCATTGGGAGCCACGGAAGGCGGCGGCATTAGTACAATGCCATCAAGGTACCTTTTACGACGTGTCCCTACTTTTTAAGTGCACCCGTGAGAGTTATTTATCAGGTACCTGTTTATTTGCCTCCATTCCAAATGTCTTCCAGTAGTAGTAGTCCATTGGCTGCCCAGTCGCGCTGACTCACACGTTTATCGCTTTTTTTTCCCATTTATTAGTCACTTCACAATCGTCCCTGGTGTCAGTCGAGTGGAGCTAGCTAGCGCTTTGGCTATAGTGGCTGCTAGCCCTCTAATGCTGAGACAACGATTCCTTCCCGATATGCTTCGTTTCTCCCTTATTAGTGAGGGAGGCATGGACACTCGAGGATTGCCGCATCCCGAGGGTTCCCCCTGTTGTTGCTTATTCCTAGGTGTTACATGGTGCAGAACCCATTCCCACATGGAAATCGACGAAATGGTCCAATTCTAGGAGATCTCAATTGAAAGATGTCGACCGCTTCATCCATTATTCTCATTCCATCTGCTCCCAATGGGCTCAAAGGCGACATCTGATAGGTTTCACAACAGGGAAACCATCAGAGGGAGGCTCTACTTATTATGAAAGACTCCGGAAGTAATTCATCACTGTCCTCGGTGTACCCCTGGTAATACCAGCAATGTTGGACGCCGAGGCTGACAGCGGGCCTATGGCTCCCTGCGAAATAGGCCACTAGTTCTCTTCGAGCTGTGCTTTCGTTCGAAGTTTCGAAAGCTTTCATTATACGTCCCACTCTACTCTGTAGGGAAGGTTCTACTCGCAAACAATTCAGGTCGTGAGATGCCCCATGAGAGCCTGGTCAGAGGGTGGATTCACCAATAAAGATATCCTGTCCTGGAGGTAATGCTCGAATGGATAGTGGTACGAATAGCCAGAGGAATTTCGTGCGGGACTACCTAAGCGCAGTTCCTTGATCTTTCTTCTGTAGCACAGATGACATTCCTCCTACACCAGTGGGATTTGAGCTCAGAGCGGTTCCTATAGCCCTACACACTTCTCAAGAATAACTACGAACCGGTTCGTTACCAGTCATGTCATGGAATCTCCAAAGTTTTCTAAGAAATACGTTTCATTATCTCTCCCCCACCTTCCTGCTCCCTGATAACTTCCGTATTTCTTACCAAGTCAGGTCGATAGTGATAACAGTCTCACACTCCTACACTCGTCAATCATGGGCTTGTTCATTCGGGTCCCTGTTTCAGTGGAGTAGGGACTTAGTGGGACTGGAGCATTCAACCTTCTCTGCAACAATCTGGCATTAAGCTTATGGGAGAGGAAGGTGAAGATGCACCGGGTCATAGCTAGGTACTCCAGCCAGGGCTCGACCCTGGGCTACTGTTTGAGGCAATCTCGAGTTTCAAAATTTTAAAGTTTCAAATTACTCATATCTTGAAACTCGGAATTGCGTCAATCACTAACACAGATGTGGCTGGAATGTCTAGCTATGACCGGCACATTTTCACTTTCCTCTCTTTTAAGCTCGTTCTTTCATTGATAAGTGTGACGGGTTTCCAACGATTGCCTGATGTCTCTACTATCTGTTTTTGTTGCTTCTGTATCGACTTTCGGGCCCTGGGGAATCCACCTGATAATAAACGACCCTATCTTCTAGGTATTAACTTTTTTTTTTGGTTCTTCCAAGAATGAGTTAGGCCTCTGTTGAATCAAAAAAAAAGGAAAAGGTCGGGGGAAGAAAAGGATCGACGGGAGAGACCAAAGGATTTTTCCGATCGTCTGTCCGTTTCTACTTTATCTGGTTGAAATCCGGAAGATACCAGGAACCATAAGGGGCTAGTAAGGACGATAAGATTACCGTCCCATCGTCATCCTTACTGCCACTCCGCAGCTTCAAAAGAAGGCCGCCTAAATCTACGTTACTGGTAGGGCCACTCATGGGCCCTACCAGTGGCCGAGACCCACCTATCTGTTGTCCCCATGAATGTGGAATTCGAAGGCCTTGATAGGTCGGCTACGGGAAATCTTCATCAATTCAATCGGATCGTAATAAACCAAGCTCATTCCCGTTTTTACAACGTGATCCTTTCAACTGGTAAACAAATAACGAGTACAAGGCGTATCCATCCCACGGGACGGATTACTGCCGCCGAGATTTGCTTTGCCCCTCCGCTTGCCAAGCAATTAGAGCGCCTCGTCACTTGAACAGGTGACAAGATGCAAATGAGAGATAACGCTGAGTAATTACGAGTAAAGCCGAGTAGTAAACCCGCATAGAAGTATCCTGGAGGAAGCTAATCGGCCATGGATACCCAGAAAGTTCCTACAAAGTCTACAACCTTTTCCCGAGCTGCTTCTATAGGTGCCTGATCGGCGGAGTTTCGTATCGGAACCATCACCTTTGCAAAAGTCGCTGATCATGGTTGATCTGAGCTCTTAGTAGAGGGGATGCTACATCGAAAATAGTAATTTTCAGTGATAGGTGTCACTTCCCATGGGAAACCCCTTCCGCAGGTCTGCGGGAGTACGGTAAGATACCGAAGAGCGATCGCTATCTGATCGCCTATCACAACAACCATGACCAGCCCCAGTGAAAGGAAAGACGATCAAAGCACGAACTCGTCGCCACCACCACCGCCACCACCGTCACCATCGTTGGTTGGGCGCTCGTAGCTGTGTTTGTGGACATGGCGGCCCAACCACTCTGGACTACTAAGCCAGGCTATCTCGTCGTCGTCGTCATCGTCGTTCTGATATCGCTGACCTTTCGCTCGTTTCGGAGCTCTGGTCATTGATTGCTATTCACGACACACTCACACACATTCACTGTCTCGTCCGCCGCCGCCGCCACCGCCGTCGTCGTGGCCGTCGCCGCCCCGTCCGTCCGCTCAAACCTCTCACAGCAGCAGCCCCGTCGTGTGTCCCAGTCAGTCAGTCCCAGTGTGCCTCACACCCTTTCTTCGCAATCGTGTGGTGGTCGGTCGCCAGTGGTGGTGGCGTCTTTTTCAGTTACACGACGCCACTCAGCCATTCGGCATCCTCTCCTTTTTTTTGAATTTGAACATTTTCGTTTTGGAAAGTCTGCTCCGTCAGATGCTTTGTACTCAACTACTTGTCCCCATAAGGGGAATGTTTTGGTTTTTGGCATCTTTCCAAGGGAGTTTCTTTCCTCCCGCCTACTCTTTTTTCTTCGCATAGTCACAGTTTTTTTTATGTAAATTTGGCTATTTGGAACGTTCCCAAAGTTCAGTTCCCAGTCTATTTTCGTTGCTCTTTGCCAATCTCCCACGTCTGNCGTCAGTACCCATTTCCCAGATTAGCTCAAAGGTATGACTTAATGAGGTTTTCAATCTGCTAACTTCCCAAGTCCAAAGTTCCGGGAGGAATAACCAGTATTTTTGTATTCCCGGACGAGTTCATGAGTTTTTGATCTGGCTGTGGCTGGTTTTAGTCCATCCGAGTTTTTTTCTTATGTTCATTAAAATCTCAATACTCTCGTTACCTCTCATGGATACCCTTTTGCTTTCTGGGTCCTGAGAGTACCGATAATTTCCTACAGTATCCCTGAAAGTAGTGTAAATCGATACTTTTGCAGTAACTACAGCTAACAACATATCTAGGCCACAGTATTGCCTAGGCGATATTGTCTTTTGGCCTAGGCTAGGCCAATTTCAGGCTGTTTCGGCCGGCCATATGTAAGTGTCCGATGGCCATCGTCGTCGTCGTCGTCGTTGTCGTCGTTTTGTTTTCCCGCCGTTAGCGTCGTTTAAATTACGGCCCGTTGGCGAGCACTTGGGTTGCACTATGATGTTGCAAACCCGTTGAAAAAACTCCTTTCCAATTGGAAGCTGTTATTTCTCACGTTTTCAGTGGACTTCGTAAAAAACCACGTCTATGACAAAGATCACTCTTTGGGCGTTTTCCGTGGGAAAGCCAATATTTTGGGATTGCGCCATGAACTTGAAATCCTCTTTAAATCGTGGGCCATGTAAAAGCCCACATTCTCTTATCAGGAAATTGGGAGAGCCAGTCTGATTACCTTTGGTACTTAAGGCTAATGTATTTCAATGTATATTTTATTATTCACGTGGAGGAACATATTAAAAGGACTGAGCCGGATTGAACCAGGAAGCTTTTTGTTGCCAACGGCGCATTTTACTACTGAGCCAGAAGATCACACCCACTTCTTCACAAAAAAAAACAAAAAGCTACTGCTATATATTGTTTGCTGCTATGATAAGGAATGCTATTCTTGGAAGAGATCAACCACCTGGGATGCGCCACGGATTCGACTTCAATTCTGGAATTCATTGGCCCAGTTGTATGGGATTTTTCATAGAGAGAGTTGGGATAGAGGCTGACTGAGACCTGAAGATTGAAAGTTTCCAGGGACTCGGCCGAGTTCCGAGCCTATAAACCCCTTCGATGGAATACTGCGCCTCTAGCAATTGCGCTACTCTTTCCAACATTAGGTGCTAAAACACACGATACCATAGAATGGAATCCAGAAGACTATAGTGTGATCATGTCGTTGTCGTCCGTAAGTGACAGAGATTGTTAAACCGGTTAGATTACCTAAAAGATGCTATGAATACCATCTAAGCAGGTTGTCGACAGCAATTTTATTACTCTTACATTGCTGTTCATGCGTATATGTGTTTTTCTGATGACCATGAATGAATAGATGGACGAGTTTCCGTCAAAACTCGTCCACAACTTTTGTACTACTGGAGTGGGGTTGTGCAATAGCTAATGCTGCCACTACTGTTTTACTGCCATTACCCCATTACCGTCGTAGTTTCGTAGTGATAGATGGCCTTGTAAGTGAGGAGCCGGCATGAGTCAGCATGTCTGGGTCGGACCGGCTGGGCGCTCTTGAGCTGGGCGCTGCCTATGGGGAACGAAGTGGATTACAGTTGAGTTTAGTGATAAAGTTGACAACCTGGGTGTTTACAGATTTTGTGAAGTCAGTTTACAAAATTGTTCGAATGGGAGCCAATCTAAGGTTTGTGGGAAGCTCCGCCTACTTTAGACACTGGAACTAAGGACTCCCTCCACCCATCTTCACTGTATGCTCGAATTTACACCAGAATTTCAATTTTTTTCGACTTTTGGAATAACTTTGGGCTCCCTGATCGATATTTCATTTCTTTTTCATTTAATTGTTCTTTTAAAAGCAACAAACCTCGAAAATCCCTGGTCCCACCCTTCGAAAATCCCGTTGTCAATGAAAAACGGCATTCCTCGTTTGTTAAAAATGATTTGTGATAGCCCCATGGCTCTTATCATCGCATCATTCCATGACCCATCTATGCTCTTATCACTTTTTTATGGGCAATGAGTAGTCGCTCAACTGACGAGACCCGATCGGCAGGTGGTTGTGTTTTCTCATAGGTGGTCGTTTGGCTTTCTATCAGTTGGTTTTATGGCTAACAGCTGAGATTAATGGGTAATTGACTAGTGGCTTGGCATTGTAAACTGTCCAGTAACTTCACGGTTAGATCAAGTTCTCTTTCACAGCTGATCGGTGAAAATTGATCGATGATCTTTCATTTGGCAACTCATTGGGGCTCAGATCAAATTGTGGAGGGCAATGGGCAGCGTCCAGAGCCTCCATAGAGGCCCCATGGCCTTTCAATCATCTCTGAAATAGTCAGGGATTGACTTGAGAACGGCTTGTTCCAAACAGCTATACCTTACATGTTGTTTGTTGCCATCCGTTCCAAGGACATATATTGGACGAATAACTAGGGGAGAAAGGAAAAAATCGAAATATGTAAACAACTATGATTTTAGGGAAGTAAACAAAACCATAAAACTCCGATCATTTCGAAACTCTCCCATGATTTCTTCACTCGTTCTGCCGCTCGTCTGCAGACATGCGTCACATCGCCGTCGTGGCCGGCCGCCCGAGAGAGTCCAATGATGGGAGCGAAAAGCGATCTTGGCTGGTTGCCAACCACCTGCTAAAACTCTACGAGACGTCACTAATTGAGTTCGATTCGACGCCAGCGACGATGCATAATCTGACGACCACAACCACCACGGCCGTCGTCATTGCCATTGACGTGTGCGGAGGATGAAACTGTCATTGGTATGCAGTAGGTAGTCGGATGAGTGGGAGGGACCGAAAAAATGCGGGGGTTGGGGAGGGGGTATACCTCGGGGCGTTTTTTCCCCAGTCATAAAAAGCATTCCCACGCTTCACTGGCACCCGCCGTCGGGCATTCCCCCGTTGCACTTGTTGCCATCGTGTACCGTCCTCGTCAGTCGCCTCGGAGATTGCAGTCGGGCCGGGCCAACGGCCGGATGGTTGGTGGCCGTGCCGGCTGTCGCAGTTTGTGTCTAGTCATCGTGTCAATCGTTCCTTGTCTCTTGTTTACAAGTATTGATTGCTTTATCGATCGATTTCCATCAGGTGCCATGTGTGTGGTGCCATCTGTGAACTTTTAGATAGCCTGTTAGAGAGATATTGTATTTGTTATGACTTTCACCGAAATTCCGAAGGTCATTGGGTTGTTTACAAGTGGTAAAGGTAAACAATAATCGTTCGCAAATTGAAAGGCAAACTGTCAAATCTATTGTCATCACAGTGATAACTAGGAAACTTCACAGAAAGTTACTCTTTGAGAAACTCGAGAAATGCCAAGATTGTAGCGATTTTTTCAGTTTCCGAAAAAAAGCGGGGGAATAGGGTCTTATAATGGCCCTCTGATGTTGGCAGCAGTTAATTAAAGCTTTAAAGAAGTTTGATTAATGAAATTGACCAGTCGCTCCAAGGGGAGATTTGTCTAGTAACAGCTCCGCCCATTGCTCCTTCATGAGGCATCTCCCCAAGGGAGGACTCGGGAAAGTTCGTTTTCCCCATGATTTCCCCTTCATTTTCATTTTTGAATTGGTTTTTTTCCGAGTCTTTTCTTTTTTTCCGATTTTTTTTNTTTTTTTTCGTTTTTTTCTCCCGGGTTTGTTTTTTTGTTCGCGTAAACAATTCCCAGCCATCCCCTCGTAGCGATCTTTGTTCTAAAGGGCAACGTGGTTTTCGCGATTGAATTAGATGCTCGAATAATTTATGAGGAATAGAAAAAAGTGTTAAATATTCATTATTCATTTTAATTGATATAAGGGTATATGGAAGCTTTCAAATGGAACAGCTGATATCAGGGATTTCAGTTTTTACATTAGTAAATAAGTAAACAAATGTCGTTCATCAGTTTCCGCCGATACTTTGCTTGCTTTTGCATCGAGTCAGTAAAAAAGGTATTCGAGTTCGAAGTGTTTTTTCTTGCAAAGGGTTGTTGAAAAGGAACTTTGTTGTTGTTTACTTTTTTGGCCATCTCGTTTCCTTCGGAGGTCTAAAAATGGCTTGAGGAGCTGTGATTTGTGAAGAGTACTCGAAGAGCTCTAAGCCCAGTGGATGACTCGAAAGGCCTTCCGTGAGCGTGAGGTCCAGTAGCTATGAGGGTTTCAGGTAACTACTTATCTTAGCAGAAAGAGAACCGGGAGACCTGCAATGGCGAATTGGGGGCAAATAAGGGGCAACATGGGCCTTACTATTATAGTTATTGGACTATAAGACTGGACCCATTACTTCCTGAAGATTGTCCATTGAACACCTCCTACCGAATCACATTTCACAAGCCAAGCCCTATTCTTTTTGGTTCCTAAGCAAATACGAGTACATGGCGCATAACAATCGAATTTCCGCCAGTTTCTAGCTTTTCCTACGTCTTTGTTACTAGATATTCAATCTGTCGCTCTTGGATCGTTCATACTTCCGCTCTCCTTCACCGAAACTTCAGCCTCTTTGCTTTGTTTTCATCTTCATTTTTCCATGCTTGTTGTTTATTTACTGTTTTCATCATTTAGAGGTGTTATTAAGATAAGGTTAAACTTAATTCAAAACGGCAGGCTCAGGTCAACTTGTAGGCCGGGTTTCATGATTCCACCGGTTCAATTTCACATTCGACAACTGACCTTCCCCCTTCCTAGTTTTCACTACGTCGCTGCTCAGGGGGAGGGGGAGGGGGGCGAAGCAGTGAGGGTGAACTAAATAATGGGGTTTTCATTTTCCACCCACGAAAATCTTGGAAATCTTCATTACCGTCTCTACCGTATTTTGATGTTACCGTATTCCTTGATTTGCCGAATTATCAAGCCGATCCTTCTTATTTGCCCCTCCTCTCTCGCTCCCTCCCTGCTCCCCCCAGTCTCCCGCCGTGAAAGAGGAAACTCGTAAACTCGTGAGTAGTGAAGCTTGAAAAGAGGTCGTAGTAATTCTCATACCGTTGTCGGTTTCTTGCCGTTCCCCATACATTTCCCCCATCACCTCATTCATTTCATTCCGCCGTGTCACATTCCCCCTTTTCACTACCTTCCCGTTGCCCATTCTTCGAAATTGTCGTGTCACCATTTCAGCGTCACTCACCTCTCACCCCGATGAGCGACGGCAGCGATGTGTGATCAGAACGCGTTACTTCGCCTACTTGCGGCGCAGGCGACCGCTCAACAACAGGTTTGTCATCAGGGTGGCGTATACCGAGGGATTTTGTTGGCCACCGATTACCGTTGGGCCTTTGTTTTTACTGCCGATACCAACGCGCTGATCACCTGCTTTTCAGATGCTTTTCGGTTGTGGTAGTGGAGCTGGTGGTGGCGCCAATGGCACGACGACGAATCATCGTGGATCGGTCTCCAACGGTAACACCGCTGCGTTACTGAATGGAATGCTCGGCGCTGCCAATCCGTTTATGTCACCTGAAATGATGCTCTGGCAGAGTATGGTGGCAGCACAAGCGCAGGTGAGTCACGAGTGGTATGGGGTCTTATTCGGGTGACTAGAATAAGGCCAAAGAACTGCCCGTCCGACCTAGGCAATAGTTTCCACTTTCTAGGCGTTGTAACATAGGGCCTTCGGGAAAGGGCTCACAGGAACCATGCGCTGCTTCAATACTTTCATATTTCTAGGCTCAGATGGCGCAACTCCACCAGCAGCAGCAGCAGCAGCANCAACAGCAACAGCAGCAACAACAACAACAACAGCAGCAGCGGCAACAACAACAACAACAACAACAACTAGCCCAGTTATCATTTGAAGACGTGCTGAAGAAATTGACTGAGAGCGCTGCCAAGAAAAGTGGGTTCAACAACTTTTTTCCTCTATTTTGTTGATTTTATTCTTACCTCGTTCTTCTATTTTTGTTATTTTCATGTTTTTTTTTTCAAATTACCTGTTTCACAAGTGTTTTTCTCTCAAATTTGTGACTGTGAAAGTGTTTCGACCAGGTATTGCGCTACTGCGGTTAGAGACGTAGAGGAGGTGACAGACGGCAGGGTGGTTTACGCATTTTTGCACAAAGCCGTATTTTTTGGCTTTCCTGCTGCGAGCTGACTTACAACTTGGCCTTCTTTGAGTTTTTTTGATTCTTCCGATACACCATCCATCTAATTCCTCCTTTTCTTGCTTGGACCTATTGATGTAGGTGGCATTGAAGGTTTCTGTGTGGCTTACTTTGTGACAGAATACCTAAGCTGTTTTACTCTGGTTGCTTATCTAGTTTCTAGAAGTAGTTCCGACTACTTCTTACCCTCTCTTGTGTGGCGGTGTAGTCATCCGGAAAAGATGTTTTTACTAGCTGAAGTTGGCGCCGACATTCATCGTTGCGGCCATCATTCATGTCGATGGTGTTGTAGTCGGTCGATGGATTGACAGCCGTAGACCATCGACATTCGGCGTTCCGAACACGTTTCGATTCCTATGAAAGACTATACAGTCTGGGAGTACGCCCACCTCTAACCTTCTCCCGGAAGTACTTCATTTGGACGTAGACTGTTCCCCTTTCTACAGTGGGAATGTGGTTTTTACTAAGGAGTTCACTGAGCAGCCAACTGTAGAACTCCTGCCAAAAATAGCCCAACCGTAAGTAGGTGACTGAGGAGCTCCAGGACAAATCTTTCTTCCCAAAGGGTATGCCAGGATTATAATCTTATGATTCTTGGGATCTTCACAGTATCCCTTTTACCGTATTCCATGTCTTGCAGGAGGGTCGAGGGTGGAATCAGCCGGGGTAGAGAGAGCGTAGCAAGGCTACTTTGGTATGAGCGCGGAGCTAATTCTATGCGAACGATTTTCTGGCATTTGGTCTCGTCAACGTCATAGCCATCGTCATGGTGCTTATGCGTGTCGCCTTAATTATCCCGAGCCTTGTCTTGTGGGAAGAGGAGGATGGGCGATGTGTGTGTGTGATGTGATGCGAAGAAAGCAAGCTGGTCGCGTTGATTGACCCAGGGACGTCTGTGGCTTGGCCGTCACCAACACCCAATGATGCCTGCGGTTGTCGTCCGGCCAACCATCCGCACAGCCAGCCAGCCACTCAGTCAGTCAGTCAGTCAGCCCTTTGTGGCTCGTTTTACGACATCTACTCACGGTGTTTGCTACGACGACCACGACGACGGCGACGGCAACGATGATGACGACGCCGCGACGGCGCGTTGTGTGGTGTAATTGCCGTAGTTCTTCGTCGTATGACAGCAACAGCAACACATACCCCAAAAGAAACTCGTCTGGGGAATAACAGGGATCCTTCAAGATCTTGGGAATGTTTTTATGCGGGTAGAATTCTGGAGGTTTCCTTTCTCATATGAGATTGCCAAACTGCTGACTGCGAAGTTTTCCAAAGCCCCAGGACCCTCGCCATCTCGTTGTTGTGGGGAAATATTAATGTTATGTCAGCTGATGAGTCCCAAGGTGTTGGGGGCTCTTACTGCCTTGCAGAAGGGTCTGAAGAGCCAAGTCTCCATGAAAACCACAAAAAAGTTTCTTCAGAGTCCCTTCCCGGCTTAGGTGTTGCTTGGAATCGTAGAAGGCAACGGGATGGTCGATACTAAGCGGCTACTGTGAAGTCATGCTTGAATTTGCCCTTAATTGGAGATCCTTCAAACTCCTGAATCGGGACTAAAGGCCTATTCGTCCTAAACCTTTACGTTGGCAGCTTAGTAGGTTGGTCGATAGACTTCTAGTAGGGGACGATAGCAGATATGGTTGGGTCTGGTTGTGGATTGGGATTTCATACAAAGCTCGGCATACACCGGTGGAAAAGCCTCTGAGCGAGATGGTTCAACCGAAGACGTTAATGCTCATAAGATTTTATCCAAAGCAGGCCCGTTTTTGGAAAGTTTTTTAAGCATGGTCCCAGCTTGTACGGTTTCTATCAGGGCACCCACTATATCCATGCCCTTTTGCAAAACCAGCTTGATCACCTTCTGGTAAGGCCAAATGGCCTCAGAAGACTTTTGAATCGGGTCATTTCCTAATTGACGAGGCCTTGGTGCGAGTCAACGGCCCTAACCGTCGAGTTGTGAGTGTTAGGCCCCGGTAATTGCCTCTGTATACCCCCAGTGAATGGTATCCATAAACACTGGTATCATGTTTCACATCACACATACATGCATATGCGTTATGATGGCTGTTATTGTGGGAATGAGACAGAAACAATTACTATTTAGTAATTACGTATGGATAGAATGTCCTTAAGGTGCCACGATGGGAGCCGGTTCTTTCGTCCGTCCGTGAATCGTCAAAAGTCGATTCCAGTTGAAGGCTGATGGTTGTCTGGTGGCGCCAAGTTGGTTGGGCACATAGCAACTCGTCGAGGCAGATAATCGTCGTCACGGCAGCGGCAGTGGCAGCAGCGGAGTGGCTGACGGCGGTCAGGAATCGGCCACGAAACGCTTGCGCGATCGTCAAACGTCAGCCATGAATTTGGTTGCGTGTCCGTCGGACGAGCTGTTTAGTGTTGGGCGGGAGGGGAGAGCGAATGATGACGCCAAATGGCGGTTGAGCATAGCTTGAGAGTCAAGCGAGGGATCGGGAGTCTCTGCAGGCAGTTATGGCTTGGTGGAAATGAAGAGAAAGAGATATGCTCGTGGTTCGTCCCTCGGTACCTCTTGTTGGTTAATTCAGCGTCCTATACCTCGAAATTGGTGGAATTCTGAGCTGATCACTTCCGTTTTGGGGTTTGGGCCATGCTTTCGACTTCTATTCGGAATCGTACTAGTGTTTGGATGCATACTTGACCTAAACAATGACTTGCGAAGGCTAGTCAATGCTCAAGCCAATGTTTCACATTCCCAGACTACTTTATACCTCGAACTTGGCGGAAAGCTTGGCTCGCTATCGGTCCCGGGTTTGATCCCAGGACTATAACTGTGGCATTTCCGCTACAAGCCCTTATCCTTACTTAGTCTTATTGCGGAAATGATGGGCCAAAGCCGTGGAACCTTGACTAACGAACCGTGTAGTACTCAGTTCTGGCCTGGTCATGCGATAGCGCGTGCTCCTCCACGGCGAGCACGGTACGATCCGCTATCGCATCACGCTCTCAATGTCACGCATATGAGTCAGCGAACAATTAGCTAAGAGTTAGTTAGGTTATACATTTATTTCCAATATTCATCTGACATAAACAGAGAAACGGGCCGTGATCTTGATGCTGCAGGTTAGGTTTGGCAGAAAAATTCTTTTTGGATTGAGCCATATTCTCATCCCCACATCAGAGCGCTCCGCAGGCGGCCAAGGCCGAAATGCCCCAAGAAAAACTGGGAAAAGCAAAACGTTGGCTTGTTCTATAACGACAACATAATAACAAGCTGTTTGTCGGGGCATCCAGTTGAGCCTATAGGGGAGATAAAAGTGGACTCGGGCAGAAAGATGTGTGAAGAGATATTGTGGGCGCGTGACGTAAGGGGTTCCTTCGGCCCATAGGTTGGACATGAATGTTCTACTGGGTTACGAAAAAAGTGATCAGAGTTGAATGAGAACACTAACGGTTGTCTTTTGATAGTCGAGTTTTTCCCTTTCCACAGCTGGGTTAGGCACTTCTTATCGCCGAGCTCCGAACAAAACAGCCCAGGCAAAGTGCCAAGCCGTGGCGCCATTTTTCCGATGTCTGGAGCCTTCTTCGTTCCCATTTGAACGACGTTTTGTTGATTTCACGAAAGATCCAAGCCTAAGATTTCGTTGTTCGTGCGATGTGTCAAACGACAGACGAATAGACCGATGCAGGAAGAAGAGGAGAGGCACAATCGCCGCCGAACAATCGCAATCGAGAGGTTTAGTGGCCGACACGACGAAGCGCGTCCATCGGTCGCTCACTCTCCGTAGGGAGAGAGAGCAGGTGTTCTACGGTCACATGCAGATGTCACCGAAGTCAACCGGCGCACACCCTCCCCCCACCCACCCTGCGAAACTCTCTCACCAAGCGCAATTTGCTTTGTGTGGTGGGCTTGTAGGGAGGGACCAGCAGTGAAAGTTGGGATCGACAAAGTGGACTTAAAGGAACTTAGAGGTTAGGGTGATTGGTCTGGGACATCATCTGGGGACAAACGTGCGGTACCGGTGGAGTACGGAAGTGAAGATGGAAATAGTTTGTTAGTTTTCGTGGCAACATATTAAGGCAAACCGGGCCCGTGCGATGAGCCTACCTCTTCAGCATGACCCAGCCTTATCTGAAAAACTTCCGATTCTGTACCCTATTCCACGAAATCTTTGGTTCACTTCGTTCAGGCATGAGGGGGAGGGATGGCTGATGGTCTATCGCCATTAATATCTCGATATTGTTTGCTCAGAGCCTCGGGCGTAGGTCTACTTTCCAACATCGATAGAGAAGAAGCCGTTCTCAACCGGCTAATGGCAAATCGACTCGGTGGAGTTACCAGTTGACAACTTGTAGGCGAGTAGTAGAATGCCACAACGCGCCGTGGTCAGAACTACGGACAAAGTTAGATTCCAACTCCTAGCCAGTGGCTTCCTCAGCCATTGCGAGGTTATGGAACCGAGAGAGGAAATACGGAAGTGGAACGCTGGTATTCGAAACGTTGTTGAGGCAGCGTGCACATTCCATTGCATCCATTATTCTGGGTGGAAGTTGGGCGCACGGCGCGCCACCTCCTCTTTCTGAGAATGTGCCTCCTCATTGTAGATGTATCACGTCCAATTAATTTGGCCTGTTCTTCTGAATTTCAAACGGATTACGGTATATTCTGTGGGCGCACGCACTAGCACAGTGCTTATGTGGGTCTGATTGTGAGGCCGGCATCGAAGGTCTTCGTCGATTTTCTCATTTGAGACGCACGCCATTCAGTCTTCCATCATATTTTGGACCGGGGACTCCACCGACGGCTCTCAAATGACTGAGCCTGGCGGCGTACGTCGATAGAGGAAGACTGCTAAGCACGCAATCCTCCTTGACAGCGGTGTTGATGACGACGGCGTGATAGTCCCGTGGTTATGTCGTGGTGGCGATGTTGTGTAATGACATGGTACTGAGTCATAAGGAATTTGGAATGTGAACCATTTGGAATGAGCCACACCGAATTGTTAGTAGCGAGGGTGGTATGGGCTGATTTTTTGGGGATAGATGGCTGTGGGGTAAAAAGTTTACTACGATTTTTCTCTTAATTATGAGGACCGCCTGGGTTCGTTTGGTCACTCACTTTCGAAGCTTGTTATATTTCCTTTACAAATTGGTTACAATACTGAAAAGTTAGTTATAGTTAAGTTAAGTACCACCATTTTCTGATGTTGCTGAGTTCTAAGTTTGCTTTTTGGCTCAAGTGCTTCTTCACACGCTATCTCCACCAATACTGACCAACTGATCCAAATAAGTAAATAAGTAAACGAAGGATGAAGTCTTTGGGCGTTGATCACTCCCGTCTGAGGGATGCGCCACCGCAATCGACTTCCATTCATTCAGAATCGTAGTGGCTTATCGAATGCGTATGTGACCCATACAATAAATTGGGATGACCAGCCGATGTACAAGTCAGTGCTTTTATACTCTCAGACCAGTCTGGTACCGATTAACCAATCCCGGAGGGGTGGCGGGCTTGATTCGCTTAGGCGGACATCGGGATTCGAACCCGTGACCATGTATGTGTCATGTGCGCCACTTGCCACTGTACCACCTACCTCCAAGTAAATAAATATATGAGTATTGATGGATAGATAGAAAAAAGGTCCTTGAGGGATTGATCTGAGAAGGTAGGAATCTGTGATTTTTTGTGATCTTTTTTTATTTTGTAGTCCCTCTCACCATCTCTATAGCGCATCATCACCATCTCTATGGCGTATGAAGCTTCCTCCTTCGGCTGATCGACCAGTTTGCTCTATCGTTGCCTTCTGGAGAACTTGTACCAGACAATTTTCCCAGGTAAAGGTACCGAAGGTTTCAGCTGAAAGAGACTCCCGTTCGTCACCAAAATGTGAACTGCACTGAAGATATCCAACCGTGAAGGGCCCACTGAATGACACCAAAGGTTTCAAGGGGCTTTGAACTGCAGACTTAGTCACAAAAAGTAACTACTTCGATCGCCATAAGTGAAGCAATCTGCTGGGAAAGCTTGTGAAACATGTCCAGGTCCACTGCTATAGCTGAAACGGCCTTAAAGGACATTTTGCCCAGCGGAAGTCACTAATATCTCGGGCCTATCCGTGGGAGTTTCGGCTCACGCACTTCTTTTATGGCTGCTCTGGTCGTGGTACTCTGTCGGGTGTACTTAGGTTGCCTGGAAGTCTATCCCAGACTATTGTTGATGGGAAGAATGCTGAGTTTGAGTTCAGACGAAGTCCAAGGACTCTGGAGACCTTAGTACACCCTCACCTTAGCAGGTTTTGTTTTTGCATGGGAAATGGCGATTTCTTCCATAACAAGTAATTCACGAGTTGTAGCTACGACCTCGTTGTAGTCGTCCTCGACATCGACAACGACAACGACGACATTGTGAGCGACACCTGAGGAGCGCGTGAGGGCGCTCACGTTCCCGCATCCATTATGTGACTGACGGCGGTGTCGACGTATCGCGTGTGTGTGTTTGCGACTGGTCCAGGCACTCGGCGGCGCCTCTCTGACGTCCGTCATCGGTCGCATGGGGCTGGCGCTGACACACTGCCGAACGATTCGTGGTGGATTGACGGCAACGAAGGACCAGCAGGGGACGACGTGGAAGAATTGGTAAACGCCATAGTTGGTTTGCGGTAGTTCGACATCATTCATTGCCGTTCTCAGAAAGACTCCTAGGGATTACCAGCGCTCTGCGGGCTCTAGCTCTAGGGGCTGTATAATGGAATGGGCCCTGGTGGCAAACCACTCAGTAGAGAAACTTCGAAGAAGACTTGAAAGGTCGGAGTAAGACGGTATACCTCGACGCCCTTGCGTAACGCGCCGTGCGTTCGCCTTCCCTTCGGAGTGTGGAGAAGTATGGAAGCTTGTTTGCTTCCTACAATCGGCTGGTGCGACTGGTTGTTCATCTAGGGGCCTCACCCACTCTATAGATACGATCTAGTTAGGTGCAAAAGGATAGAAGGCAACCGCTGTCCAGTGTGCCCGCTTAGCTCCGGGTCTAAATTCTGCCTCGAAGCGACTAGAGAAGGTTGTATAATTTGGTGGGTAAGGAAGGAAGAATCATTTGGAACCTTCGTAGTCCTGGCTGTCAAAAAAACACTATTTTCCGCTTGAGTACCCTCCCTGTATCGTAGAAGCCCAAGGTGCAGTAATACTGGCCAATGTCGCATCTGTCGACCTTAAAGACGCGGTGACATCGAACAGATGCTGATTCATCGTCACCCACACACACAACAGCGCTAGCGTCGGTAGGTGTTCACGAGACCAGCTTTTTAGTCGGCTGGTTGCGATGGTTTTTGTCCGTATGTGAACAGGGAAGAAGGGGCAGTCATCGGTGCTGTGGTGGCGATGGTGGTGGATAGAGAATGGGTGACAGTATTTGTTGAGCTAAACTCGGTGATTCGGAGACGAAGAAAAGCTGGCGAAAGCTGCTGGGGAGCGGTTTTCTTCGAAAAAGGAGGATAAACCTCCCTCTCAACCAAGGAATCGAGATTGATTTCTTGATAACTGACACCTAACTGTTTTGAAAATTGTGGGAATTCTGAGGTTTTTGGAGCCCATCGGAATCCACTTTTAATCCCAAATTCAACCAAATTACAACAGAATCACCATCTTGAATAGATGAAAAAGATGAAGATGAATTTTATGAGAAAAAATATAAAAGTGACTTTGTAGACTCGAAAAATAGTTAGATTAAACCTTTACGAATTTTTTTCCTCGGCGACGCCTCTCAGTTATGCTGCTACATAGTTTTTGAATCGTTTTTTGCATTTTTTTACCCCTATTCCAGAAAAACCCTTATAAAAACTTTTTTCTCGAAGTGGGGCATGAAGTGATAAGGGGGAATGCCTAAAATGACTCTTGAAAACTTCAAATTTTAATGCCACTCGACTAAAAAAATTTGTGTTGACATAGTTGCTTAATAATGCCTTTTGATGTCGTCATACTCAAAAAATAATCTGAATATTTACTCCTAGTTTAATTATTATACTGCATATATACTAGGATTCCTGACGATGTTGCCATAAATGATCCTCAGCGAGTAGTTATTATTGGGTTGTAACATAAGTTCGTAGAGTTTTGCGTTGGAGTTATTTTGCAACGATTTGTTTTGTTTTTCAGCAAAGTGTATGCATTCATTCGAAAGAGCTTTTTCTCCTCTACAAAACTGTTTTATCCGTTTTTTGGGGAGTTTAACTGTTCGTCTTTTTTCTGGCTCAGAAATGGAATATCTAGGAGGAAAAAATCAGCATTTTCGACATCTGCTTTTCTTGCCGAAGCAGCTCGGGAGATATGCAGTGTGTACAGGGAAGGTAACTTACATAGGTGTGTCTACTGCACAAAAATGGTTCGCAAAGCTTGAAATAGGCGACTTTAAACTTGAAGACACGCCTCGAAGCGGACGACCTGCAGAATTCGACCAAGAGCGTCTGAAGGCACTATTGAAGGAAGATGGTCGCCAAACAATTCGTGTATTGGCTGACTATTATAATAACTTAATTAATAATTTATTATTGCAATTATTGCTTTTTGTTCAGAGAAATCTTTGTGAAAAACTCTACGAACTTATGTTACAACCTAATATTTCCTTCCTTTGATGAATGCGCTCCAACTCGTTCTTTATCTGCGTTGATAGACTTGAGCAGAGTAATTTAAATAATACTTGATAGTATAGAAAAAGGTCAATCTCAATTGATGAAAAGAAGAAAGCAATCGGAGGTCATAGATCTTCGGAATACGACACGCATTCAGGTGTGATTGGGAGTTTCGGGACACGTTGAACAGCTAGTATTAACCCATTTCGTTGGCATGGTTCAAAAAATGATTAATTATGAATAAACTGCTCAATGAATAACCAAGTAACTAAATAATAAATGATGGAATAAATAAACAAATAAATGCATAAATAAGTAAATAAGTAAATGAATAAGTAAATAAATGAATAAAGCAATAAATAAATAGCAATTGGAAAGGTTGCAGTAAACATACAGGAGAGTCAAAGGTCATACCAAGATTAAGAGAAGGTCGATCGTGGTATATTCTATAATAAATCCTATACTCCTATCCTATCCTACTTCAGTATCCTTGATACTGAAGCAAGGGTTCATGAAGTTTCTGTAGGGGTGTGGATGAACACTTTACCCGAAGGATTCGGACTTAAGTTTAACGTCTCATAGAGGTCAAAGGACTCGGCCACAGCTAATCATACAAGCAATGTCCTAGTAAAGCAGTTATTAGTGAAAAAAGAACAAAAATTTGATGGGATCAGTTGAATCGTACATTTTGGTTAAATTAACTTTTCATTGCTTTTTTTGCCGACAAACATTTCTTCCTTCAAACTGCTCGTTTTTTCCTTTTTTTTCCACTTCAATGGTTCACAGAAAACCTTTTAGCTTTTACGATTGAATATTTCAAAATGTAGAAATGAATATTTCAAAGAATATTTCAATATTTTAAGAATATTTAAATATTTATAAAAAAGTGTAAAAATGGAAATTATTGTAGAGATTTGGAGAAAAGCGAGAATGATAAAAAAAGAAAGAAATTTGTCAAAGTAACTTTTGATACCCGAGGTAGAGTTTATTGACCAGTTAATCGGTGTAGTATAAATCCTCATTGGCCTTTGATGCCACCTACTTCAAATAGTCTTTAAAGGTGACTAGTAAAAGTGAAGAATAGCTTGGCTCATTAGCCATGTGCGTCAAGATCGGGCAACATCCTTCAGTTGCGAGCGATTTTCCGCTCAATGCCGGCTTTTCAAAGGAAACGACTTGAATGTCTGTAATTTTTCGTGCGACTTGATGTTTTCGGAGTATGCCGTTACTACCTCTCTCCCGTGAACCGGGCGCTCAGGTTTAATGGGGGGTGGAATGACTGAGGAGGAA